TTAGCTTAAAAAGGAAAACTCAATTAATTTCTCTCTTTGCAGAAACAGTCTTCCCACTTTGGATAATCCACTGACTTTGAACATAACTGTTACTTTGAACAGTAAGATCTATTGAACCATACAAGTTAAACCAGGAAATGTTACTGGAAAGACACAAAGTGTTGGGAGTTTTTCAGATTTTCATTGTTTTTAAAGCACAAACAGAATCTTTTTTTTGTAAATGATTTATTGTCTTTTATATTCTGGATTAACATTCCAATGCTGACACATTATACAAACCAGTGTATGGCGGTTATACTAAAAAAAAAAGAGACAGACTGATGCCAATATATGCATGTTTGACAGTTTTGAGTCAAGTCACACAAAGGGTTGAAAAAAGAACTATCATTATCTGTCTGGTGTCTGAAGGTAATATGAATTTACTGTTCATCAGTGTCTTAGTTCTGTTGTGTTAGCTGCTTTGTTAAATCATCTTGCTGAGTTATATTCTTGCTACCAAACAATTGAGGAGAATACAGGTGAAACAGCAAATATCTACTGTTTTTGTTTTGAGTGTCCCACAATAAATAATAACACTAACAATTAAAGATTATGTCAACCAAAGCTTTTATTTTGATGAGTGAATGTGGTCTTCAGTTTACAGTGGACCTCAGTGTGAGTCCACAGTAGTGAAGAAAGAAGCCTGGGAGCCTTGTTAGGCTCCAGGGGTAGAGCTTGGTGACATGTACCGGAGGCTGAGTCCATTGGTTCGAAACCACCTGTGGGGCCCATTTGCGCGTGTCACACCCTGTCATCCCCCCCAGATTGTCAAAATCATAAGCATTAAAAGCCAAAACATACTAGAAAAGATCCCACAGGAGAAAGTAAAAAGCAGAAATACACACAACAACAAAGATAGAACCAATTATCTTAAAAGAATGTGCTGAATTAGAGCAATTCATTCATATTTGTTCATTCGGGAAAGATTACAAATGTATATATAACCACTGAAACCCCCCAATGCAGTAAATCTTCACCATTTTGTGATCTTACGATTCCTATTTAGAGATGAAAATTACCAATGTTTCTCTAAACATTTACAGTAATTCCTAGATTAGATGACCCAATATATATTCATTGAGCAAAAAAAAAGAAGACAGATTTATAATATAATTAATGTATAAGTAATTTAAGCAGTTAAATCAATTAGGCTGAATAAAAAGACACACAGGATCAGACATACAATAATCACATGCAGAAGTTCCTCTTTCCACTTATAGTATCAGTAAACAACAGCGTTACCCTCCCATTATCTCACCTTTTGGTTATTAATGAAGTGAATTTGGCCCACGGCTGAGGACACACACCGGAATATTCAAATAGGCCACACATTTCACCTCTGGGAAGTCAAGTATGGTGTATCTTATGGACTTCCAGACTCCTATCTTCTAGACTTTGGATGGATCTACAATGCAACACTTCCAACGCTCTCCTTGAAAATCCTGCCATCAGCTTTGCAGGGATCTTCTCACTGAAATGGTCCTACTAGGTAATGGGCCACAGCAGGGACCTGATGAGATCAATGAATAATTTTAAATATAAATTTCTCCATACATTTATCAAAAGTAGACTATTGACAAATAAGATATTTACAGTTTGTGGGAAGTCAACTGGATTATTTTAAATGAATATTATTCTTTGCTCTAATAAACATGATATTAACGCTAATAACTTTAACAATAAAACCCCTTACTGAATTTACACAAATTGTTTCTATAATCGTCACCTTACGAATTCAAGACAGCCTGTCTACCTCTACATCTTCTTTTCCCAACTCACACAACAAACCCTCCTACCGTTATCAGCCAAGAATTGACGGAATCACAAAAAAAAAAATTCAGAGAGTGAAAGAATAGGACAAGAATTCCTCTGACTCTCCGGTAATGGACTTAATATAAAAACACCAATTGTGTAAAATTCAGTAAGTTATGTAAAGCTACGATTATACGATTGTATAGAGCAAAAATATAATTCACCAAAATTAATCAGTTGGACTTCCTAAACTGTAAAACTTTTTGTACAATAGTTCTACTTTTGAAAATGTAATGGAGAAATGTTATATTTAAAATGACAAATTAGATCTACATCACGGATCCGCTTTCTTTGCCAATTACCCAGAGACCATTTCAGTGAGAAGATTCCCTGCAAGCTGATACAGGATTTTCAAGGGAGGAGCTGAAGTGTTGCATGTAATCTCAAAAAGTCAGAAGAAAGAGTCTGGAAGTCCCAACAGATAACACATACTTGACTCCAATCAGAGAGATAGAAAATAGTGTGGCCATATTGAATATCCCGGTGGTGTTCCTCAGCCGTGGGCCAAATTCAGCATTCATAAAACAAAAGTGAAAGAAAGAGGAACGGCAAATGTTGTTAACTTGAATACATATAGTGGAAAAAACTTCTGCATGTGATTAATTGGTATGCTGATCTGTGTGTCTTTTATTCAGCCTAATTGATTAACTGTTAAAATTATCAAATACATATTCAATATACTTCTTTCTTTTTTGCTTCAATGAATATAGTAGTCATCTAATCAAAATAAATTACTGTAAAGTTAGGGGAGAAAACAGGTAACATTTCAAATCTACAAAAAAATCTAAGCATACAAAATAAGGTGAAGATACTCATTGAGAGGATTTCATTAAAACATTTTAATGCTTATCATGAACAAAAATGACATGAATTGTCTCTATTCAAGCAACATCTTAAAGGGATAAATTGTTTCAAATATCTGTAATGTTGTGTGAATGTTTCTCATTAATACTTTCTTTGTGGCATTATACTTAATTTCAAGTATTATTATAGAGGGCTATTTAATGCCTTAATATGATACCGTGAACAACTGAAAGGTTTTATGACAGGGATGACACCGCAACAATGCTGCCACAGTTGTTTCGAACCAAGGAACTCACCTCGACATGGGTCACAGCTATACCACACTGGAGCATAACCAGCTTCCCGGCAGTATTTACTAATCATAACTGAGGATCACACTGAGGTTTCTAACTTAAAGAGTCACTCATCAAAATAAAGCTTTGGTTGACATAATCTTTAATTGTTAGTGTTATTATTTATTGTGAGGGACACTCACAAACAAAACAGTAAGATATGCTGTTTCACTGTATTCTCCTTTTTCAATCTTTGGAGCAAGACATAACTCAGCAAGAGATTTAACAAAGCAGAGCTAACACAACAGAACATAAAGACACTGAGACAGTATTACATAACCTTCAGACAGACAGACAGAATGATAGTTCTTTTTTCAACTTTGGTGAACTTTGACCTCAACTAAGAGCAAACACTGCATTATATTGCATTCAGCAGTCTGCTCTTTTTTTTTTAGATTATCACCCAACACTGGTTGATAATAAGTGTCACATTGAATGTATCCAGAATAAAAAGACATAAACATTTACAAAAAAAAGATTCTGTTTGTGCTTTAAAAAACAATGAAAATCTGAAAAACTCCACACTTTGTGTCTTTCCAGTAACATTTCCTGGTTACTTTGTATGGTTCATAGATCTTACTGTCAAAGTAACAGTAGTTCAAAATGTCAGTGGATTATCCAAAGTGGGAGACTGTTTCTGCAAAGAGAGAAATTAATTGAGTTTTCCTTTAATGCTAAAAAATTAAAGGAAAATTTCTTTCATCGCCATTGCTAATGGAGAAATATCAGATATCCCGAAACCTCAGTACATAAACCCACAACTCTGCTGCGTGGGCAGATACCACTAGAGATTAGATTGTAATGTAGTGGAAGTGAGCTTGACGTTGTTTCACTGGTCAGCTTTGTTGTCCTTGTGTGGTTCATTTTATCCAAATATTTGTGAGGTCAGTAAAAGCTGCTTAAGGAAGATTTCCTGTCTCCTCTGCCAAAATGCTGAGCAATAACCAATCCTTGACTTCATGGAGTAAGTAGGCAACCAGCAGAGATGAAGAAGTGATGGGAGGAAGGACAAGCTGTTAGATGTATGGACACAATAAATGTACAAGATTTAACTTTTCTTTTTTTCATTTCTTTTTTTTTTTTTACAACTCTACTAACATTGGTTTTATTTCATTTTAGTTTTATTTTAGTTTTTCTTGTTTTTAATCTTCTGTTTTCTTTTGCTGCTAATATTGTGGCTTATGCGGCCCAGAATTGACTTTGGTGTTGTGATTGTATATTAACTTGAGGGTTCAACAAATAAATGAAGAACAACTCTGTGTAGCATCGAGTTAAACCAGGGAGGTCGGGTGAAGTTTCTGTGGGTTCCAGCGCATGTAGGTTTGACGGGAAATAAGAGAGTTGACGAACTGGCGGCATTAAAGAAAGGAGAAATAAAAATGTTAATTACTATCAGCAAAGTAGAAGTTTAACATATAATCTGGGACAAAAAAAAGAGATGGGACAGAGAGGGGAAAGGGAAGCATCTTTATAATCAAAAGAGTGTTAAAGAAACTAAGGTACGCAATGGGAACAGGAGAGAGGAAATAATGATGGCAAGGTTAAGATTGGGGCACTGTGCACTAGAAAGAAAACAGTGACAATAGTAGGGGAACATCAGACAGGATTGTGTGAGGGATGTCAAGAAGAGGAGTCGGTGGAGGTATGGCACAGAGAGAGAGGTGATGAGAGACAAAATGGGGGAATTAGGGGTGCAGGAAGTCACATTACTGAGAATGGGTGAGTAGTCTTGTTGGCCTTTTTAAGGGATGCAGGGGGTTTCTACAGGATATGATAGATACACGTATAGGTTAAAAGGTTAAAGGTTAGGTTGCGTGTGTGTTTGTGTGCTTCTGTTGTTGCTTTTATAGGGATTTTAAATTGTAAGTGTATTTTTTGATTCACACTCAGGAGCAGAAGGTGGCGGTAATGCACCAAAAAGCTGGATGCCAACTGCGGTAAAATAAGAAAAAGAAGATGAAGAAGCATTTAACCTGCAGTTCTCCTCCAGACCAGGCGGCGGCGGTAGTGCGCCCCCACGTTGTTTACCATCCGCCACAGAAGCGGAAGTAAAGCAACGTACACAACGCTGGCGTGATCACACGTGGGTAAGCAAGTTTATCAGTGGTACATGTAATGTGGTGTTGGTAGTTCAAGTGGAAAACATGTCAAAGAGACAGAAAGCTATGTCAGAAGAAAAGACGGGTGCTGGAGTGGGACACGGGGAGGAGGAGATCCAGGAACCGCCGCCGGAGACCAGACGGACCCGCAGCGGCCGAAAAGTTCGCACTCCTGCCGCATTGCTGGACTCGGAAGCTCCGGTGAGGACTCCCACCCGGAGGACGAGGAGGTCCGTCCTCCAGGAGCTGCCGGCGGTGGAAGAGAAAAATACGGAGGTGGCCGAGCGGAGACCCGAGAGTCTGCCCGAGGAGACGCTCCGCATGTCCGCAGACCCGGTGCCGGTGCACACGGCGGCCGCAGCGGATACAGACAGAGCCGAGGGCAACGGGAGCGGAGACCTCCATCAGTCCGGGCCCGCACCAGCTGAAACCGCACCCGCGAGTACCGACACCGTCCCGAAGAAGAAGCCTCGTGTGGAGTCGAGTGGAAAACCGAAGCCGGTGGTTCCGCTGGTTCCGCTGGGAAAACCCAAATCCGGGAGAGTGTGGAAGGACCGCAACAAGCAGAGGTGAGGAGATCAGTGTGGCACTGTCACTATACATTTACTCAACTACAATGTTCAGGTACTTAAGTATTATCATTATTCTACTTTGCACTTTTACATTTTAGAGAGAAACATTGGCTCTTTTTTATATATTTTATTATTTGTTATTTGATTAACAACTTTAATTACTTGTTACCTCTCAGATTAGGATTTCACACATAAAACATGGGTGCACTACTATGAATTTAACCTCCCAACATTAATGAATGATATTAAGTATGAAATGGTTAAACCACATTAACATTTGGAGTGGTGGTGCCTGTTTATGTAAAGCGACAGTGACATGTAAGGCTATATAGTTCACCCAAAAAAGGGCCAACAGTATTCAACTGGCCCACAGATGGGTGAGACAACTACATATTTGTGCATTATGAGTGAGGTATTCCTTACTCCATTCACTCATGAAACCCGGACAACAATGTGATGCCTTCCCCATCCTAGTAAAAACATTCTGCCTGCAGAACACTATTAAATGATGCACATCAGAGGGGATTTAGAAGTGGGTGTCCTCAGTGCTGACTGAACAATAAGTGGGTTTACACTGTGTATATCTGTGTATACTCTGCACTACACCACTGGATTTAAGTACCATTTCCATATCAACACATCAGTAATAATGATCCAACAATATAACACTGACAGTCAGTCTACATAATGTTTTATAAATGTTTTAATTCTACATTTAGTTGCTAATACTTTTTACTAAAGTTTTGACTTTTACTTGTAATTGAGTAGTTTTGTAGTCTAGTATGCCACTTTTACTATTTTATATCTATAATATTGTTTGAATACTTTAACCGCTGGCAGTATGTGCTGTAACCATTAGGCAGGTTTTCATCTCAACCCTACGGACCTCTGTGTTAACTGTATCCTTCTCAGCTTCAGGCAATAACCTGTTTTTAGAAAATGGTAATATGGACACACAACTTAATTTTACATATTCAGGTCGAGAGAGAGAGAGAGAGAGAGAGAATGAAACACCATATTTTGACCTTAAGTATTTAATTCTGCTTCTTCAGATAATAGTCATTCGTGTTACATTGCTGTTGAAGTATACGTTACGGTTAAATATCAAACCTCATTACTTTGGGTAATGACAGCAAATATCTAGTCTGTCATGTATTGAAAGATGGATTTTTATGACATGACCAATTTCCATCAAAAACTCAGCTTTTCTCTACCCCAGTATTCCTGGAATCATGTTCTTTACATAAAAATGATAAAAACAGACATTGTCTCAGTATTGGAATTGAAAAAGTTCGGTGTATCTCCACTATATGGGAAACTTTATGTATGAGAAATACTGTTGGAATATGTCTTGTATTGTCTCTGAACCTCTTTTATGTGATTGTGTCTCACAGGTTCTCAGCAATGGTGAGAGATAAACCGTTGTGCTCTTCGTGGGAAAAGAAGATGCAGGCCAAGCGGGAGAAGGATCAGTTGAAACAGTATTCTGTGCAGCTTAAAGACGAGAAAGCCAAACAGAAAGAGGTAGAGCTTCTATCTGATTTAACTCTTGTAATGTAAAAGGATTTGTGCATTATTATTGATTTTAAAAAATATATATATTTTCTGGCTTTATAGGAAAAGAGAAAAAGGAGAGAAGACAACTTGAAACGCCGTGCAGAGAACGAACGCAAAGCAGAGATTGTGCAAGTGGTACGTAAACTGTTGCTGTTCACATGAAAAGGGCTGAACACCACGTCACACACCGTTTCCTATTCATCTTATACCGTCACTGTAACCCCAATTTGTTGAAACACAGCATGCTTTTAGTTCAACACATTGAAGTCGGAGTCCTGGTACAGACGTAGCTGCAGTTTGACTTTGACTACACCCCGTGTCTTTTGTGAGACCGGTCCACAGACGTTATGGCCCCTAAACTGATGATGGGCCCAGCTTCTGCCTACGCGCTTGAGGCTGATTTAGAGTTGTACGTCGAGCCTACGCTGTAATGAGCGTTTACTGCTTATGACTCCGCCAAAACGCGAGTTGGTGGTGGGGTTCCCATGCTGCTGTGATAAGTTTTGACAGAAACTGAAACTCTCTCCTCAACCAGTCTTGTGTTTTCCTCGTTTCATTTGCCCATTAAAACGAAAGGACAAGGGGACAGACAAGATCCTGATGTGCAGCGTTTGTCCCTGCGTGTATGAGGACACGTGTATGTTTGAAGAGGGATTCTTAAACATTATTAACTCATCTGGGTTTTGCATGAGTTGTTTCCCATTCTCAAACAATTCACACACACTCACACACGCACACCAAGCAGCACAATCACAGTTGTTGCAGTTTGCGTCAGAGCAACATGTAGTTACATTTCTAAGGAGGTGGACGTTGTGCTACAGTGTAGGGTACAAGGCTACGCTGTCAGTATAAATCAGGCTTTAGGGTGCTGTGCTGTGTTGAAATGGTTATCTGCAACTTCACCACTAGATGCCTCTAAATCCAACACACCGGTCCTTTAAAAAAAAAAGTGTAATGCAAGGCTCTATAAAACATTGTTTAAATTTGACAAAATTCTGTTTTCTAAATTAATAATTCTAAACGAATTATTTTTAAACAAAATTATACATTTAATAAACAGTGGAACACAGCTACGTATATTCAACTTTTGTTTGTTTTATTTGTGATTGTGCATGTATAGAAATATCTAAAATATATTTTAATATCTTTTTAGTTACACAAGATAATTTTTTTTAATCTGTTTTCTAATACATTAGAGTTGCATTAAAGTTATGATTCAGAATTGAATTTGTGCAATATAAAGGCAACCAACTGAAAAGAAAGTTGTTAATTAGCAACATAAGCACACACGTATTTCTTTCTATTGGTGATTTGTGCTTAATTTAAATTCCTCTGTCTCATTTGTATCACAGATCAAAAACACGGCAAAGATCAAGAGGATGAAGAAGAAACAGCTGAGGAAAATCGAGAAGAGAGACACACTGGCTCTGCTGCAGAAGTCACAGAAGCAAAATGTAAAAGCCAAAACGCAAAAAAGTAATAAGGTGGATCAAGATCTCACCTAAAGACTGCGAGATAATAAACATGCATCTGTTCAGTACTTTGCCTTCATGTCTTATATTTGGATGTCTGAAATACAGGAAAAATGCCCCTTTGGGAAGATTTACACATTGACCTAATAAGAACTTTCTATATAGAGAAGTATAATGAAGTTAAAAGTAGTAAAAAAAAAAAAAGGACTGGTCAGGACTGTTTTTTTTTTTTTTTATTAAATTTTTTTGCATTATATAGATATTATTAATTTGCTTATTGTCCTGTTTTATTCTCTTAAGAGCTTGTGTGCCTGTAAATACTCACGTGAAAAACGTTTTACTTACAGTATTTTATATGAAATAAAATCATAATGAAATCAAACATTTTTACTGTTCATGAAATTGTGATACTAATTGATGGCTGGGAAAGGGGCACACAGGTTAAGAAACGGTACAGAGACGGCATGCTGATTTTCAGGTATGTACCATTGATAAGTGGAATATGTGCGTGTCCATTGTTAACTTGAGGTGCTCAGAGCAGAGTGTCAAAATACACTTAATAAATAGGGCGAACAAAACCAGTAAAATGCAGAAGAAAACTTAGAGTGACGCTGCTTTTGTCTTCAGGGTATATTAAAGTCTCCCTCCACTCAAAATTATGTTTTTCTTGTTCCAGCCTCACTGTTCAAAATGATGAATGTGCGGAGTTTGACACAAAAAGGATGGTGTCATCTGCTTAAAGTGGGATGTTTCTTTGTGGTTAGTCTGATGGCCCTACGAGCCTGATTTGTAACCTCACAAATAATTTACCATAGTCAACCCTGATCAGCTTATACAATTTACCAATACACATACACTGAGAATAGAGTTCACAGTGAACTAGGAGCCATCTTGTGTCTAGCAGGAAAATATAAATAAATATTTGAACAGGTAGAGGAAGTAGAAGTCTTTTTAAGGATTTTAATGTGGAAATAAACATATCAGACACACATTATTGCTTTAAGCAGACTATCTAATACATGTCTGGAGGGGGATTCTGCCACATTAATCAGCTGAAGTTTAATAAGTGTAATAATTATTATAGTCAATTAAGAGTACAGCCATTAAGTGATGCTGTAGTTTTTCTGTAAAACCCAACTGATAAATTGGTCAGGGCGATATATATCGATCGATACTGGGTTATTGCAGATCCATATATAGATACTGGTTCATATGTCATTTGATGGTAGTAGAGTAGTAGCATTTCCTTTCTAGCTTTGCACTGTCTGACCTGTTATGAATAAATGTGTTGGAATGTATTAAACTGGAGGAGTCACTGTAGCTTTTATTATTTGGATCCTTATTAGTTGTTGCAGTTGCATATTAAAAAAGTTACCTGAAAAGTGAATATTCACAAAGCTAGAAAATTAATCAGCAGCTATTTTTTTTTTATCCAAATATGGCAAATATTCACTGTTGACCAGCTTCTCAAATGTGATGCTTCCAATGCTTTTCCTTCTCTTTTATGAAGAAAATTATAATGGGCAACTAAACAACGTATTGATTAATCAAGACAATAATCTGTTTGAGGCATTTTTATGTGAGGGTATGGGAGGTCACATTGTTTATTTTTCAAAGCGTTACGCGAGAGGCTGACAGGTGACTGCTTGTCAATAGAATATGGGGACTCTACGAACTAATACCAGCTTTATTAGTGAGTTAGTATTGGTAAGAAGTGGTTTACGTGGAGTGCAATGTGACTTCTGTTATTTAGCAAATAAAATGAGGCAGTTTGACACCAGCTGAAACATGAACAACAGATATTGGCCATTTTGCTTACTACTTGCTTGAGTAGTTGACCTCCAGCAACATACTGGTATTGATTGTGACACATAACTTTGTAACGCAACATAAATTAATGCATCACGAGACGTGGTTTCAGTCAAAAACATTGTATTATATGTTCACCTAAAATAGCTGAGTAAATCTGGAGAGCAGGTTGCACACAAAGACACCCTGCTTTTTCCCCAGCTTTATTCTCATTCCATGGACTTTACATGACACATTCATTGTTAAAGTACTGCATAAGCAGCCTATGCACAAATAATTCACAAATGTATACACACTGCAGCCTTTGTGTCACATGGCAAGACAACTCCTTCAGTTCATCCACCTGTTTGCTTTATAAATCCTTTCAGTTGCAGTAGAATAACGTGACGTCCTTTAAAATGCACGAATAAACAAAGCAACTTGTTACACTGCGGTGACTGGTGTTGAAGGAATGATCATCCTTCAAACATACTCAAAGCTGGTGTCTTTTACATCATTTTTCATGTCTGTCTTTCACCCTATAAAAACAGTGACCAACACAGAGGTTATGTTAAAGGTGCACGTGTGAGGGAAGAGAAGGACAGCTCAAGGCAGCTTTTTATAAGAGTACAATCCAGAGAAGCTTTGTAAGTATAATCTTTTTCTGTCTTTTAGTAATTGTGCAGAAAATGGCTTAACTGATTTTATGGCATTATTCAGATTTCTATTTTTGTATTTTTATCATTTTTTGTTTGTTATATAACAAACTTAGTTACTCTTCAACTTTCATGTTAAGTGGCAGGAATTGTTTACTGGATCAAGTAAGAAAACAAAAAAAACTCATTTTGTCTTTTAGACATTACAGATTTAAAATGCTTCTGGTGATTCTGATAGAGCTCCTGATCTTCGGTGAGTAAAACCTGTTTCTCCTGTCACAGTGTGTTGCAATTTTTTGGAAAAGGGATACAGTCCTTACTTATACTGATGTTTTATTTATTGCTTAACATCATCAGCAAATTGTCAGGCAACTACAACTGCACCAGCCATGACCAGGGCGGATACGACCGTCGCAGCCACGACCGTCGCAGCTACGACCGCAGGGGCTACGACCGTCGCAGCCTCGACCATCGCAGCCACGACCATCGCAGCCACGACCGCAGGGGCTACGACCGTTGCAGCCACGACTGCAGGGGCTACGACTGTCGCAGCCACGACAAACTCGACAAACACCACAACCACCAACACTGCTCCCGTTGCACAGGCTGGGATCATGTACATGAGCAGTCTGGTTGTGTGTTACTTCACTATTTTTCTCTACAAGCTCCTCTTTACTGTGTAACTTGGTTGTGTTGCCTTTATCTATTTTTACACAATACAGTCCTCGTTACCCACTCAGAATGTAATTTATGTTCAAATATATGACCTAATAATCATGTTATGAAGCACTCTTGTTGATGGGTTTCAAAAATCTAGATGATCCAGTGTGTTAAAATGTTATAATAAAAGGTTGGTGGGACTCGCGGTTTGTGTCTTTTTATTTTACTGGCTTTAAAGTTATTGTCATAAAACATTTGGCAGCTGGTTTTCAAGGCTTCTTCTGCACAGTTCACAGGCATTTTTTTTCCTAAACTTTTTTAGCTTGGTTAAAGTTTTTGAACTGTTGTCTCAAATTACTGTATGAAGTGATCGGTTTTCCTTGAAATATTATTATATATCTAATTCATATGAAGTAAATAATCAACTTTTATCTGAAGGCCATGATTTGGAGTTTTTAAGATATCAATTAATTTGTTTAATAATTAATTATTTGTCGTTTTTTTTTATCTAAATACAAGAAGCAAATAAATAAGTTAATAACGACTCCAGAAAATAACTTTTAAAATGGTGTTTTGGACTTCTAAATATACGGCCCATCCTGCCTGCAAAGTCTCTCTCTCTCTCTCTTCTTTCTCTCTATCGCTCTCTTGTTCACACACATACACTCACATAGATGCTCACACAGACAAACACTCACACTTATCGATTAAAGTTGAAGGTGCAGTCGCTTTTTTCATTCATCCCCTGGTCTGCCCTGGCTCCTGCTATCGATTCCATTTTACTGTGTGTTTAATTCACAGCCAGATTACGCCTGCCACAGCCTCCACTTCCAACGCCTCTCTCAATGTTTATCGACCATATAGTAGCACTACAACTGAGCTCAGTGCCTGTATTTTCACTGTGGCTGTTTTATTGCAGCGCTCATAACATTTTAATATTTATACTTGTGTGTATCACTGTTGAATAATGAACATCCTTTAACTTCAAAGGGTAATTTGCCATTTGAGAACAAGTAGCTGGATTTACAGTGGAAGCCCATGCACTTTCTGGACCTCTAGGGGATTATATTAATTTCTTCAGACAAAGTTTTGTCTGTAAAAATCCTTGCAAACTGCTGCTGAAGGCTATCACAAACATGTAATGCAATTTCCAACACAATAATAACAGGTAAAGCCGTGTGCATCCTGAGACTCCGCTATTCCAATTTGTCCTCCGTGGGGGACTTGACACTGAGGCCTTCATTTCAAACACCACGTCTATTTGTGGGGGATAGTGGGACTTGCTTCTTCTTTCTCCATACTTCAGGAAACAAGGCACTGGGTGAGGCAGAAAAGACTTTAATCTGTGTGACCACATGATCAGCCTATATCCAGTGTCACACAAAGTGAAGTGAACTGTCCACACCATTCTGCTTTTCTTTGATCTGGCTGGATCCAGTACAGACCACCAGGCCTGCCTCTCCTTTGCAGTATTTTTTAAAGATGAGTTATTGAGAACTGTCTTGCGGTTTCTTATGATGACTTAAATTATGTCAAAAATCTAAATAATAAAATCTTTTTCCTTCTGGGTCTCAAGAATACCAGTGCGTAAAATGTCCATGTGTGAGTGTTTGAGTGTGTGTTTGAGGAAGAGGGAGAGAGAAAGACTTTAAGTCATCCTGAAATCACGTGCAGCTTATTTCCTTCTTATCCTGTATGACTGAGAAGTCTTGTGATTACAGTCCCTTGTTATGGTCTCTCTCTCTCTCTCT